AATATGTATATATATATATATATATATATATATATATATATCATTTATTTATATTTAATTATAGTGCTTTATTTAATTTATTTTCATCATATATATTATATATAGCGATATATATATAATTATTAGAAAGATATAAACCAAAAAGCTTCAAAAAGATGATAAAGGCGCCCTTAGGCCTACACGACATTGTGGTACACGATTTCGCTTAACTGTACGCGCACGTGCGTGAAACTGTCTACGGGGGCGTCTTCTACGCGACAAATACTTTCAGATTTCAGTGACCAGAAAGTTGTAAGGCATCAAGTAGAACATAACTACTGACATTTCAGAATGAATATAAAACTACGTGCTGCTTTAATAATAACGACAATGTTCTCCTTTATCTACACGTTATGAAACTTAAGCCATGCATTATTCTGTAAATCTAAACTAATTTGATTTTGCTGCACTCACCTGCGAAACTCATCTTCCATCTCTGGAGGGTACTCAGGAACCTGCATTTTTATTTTTTTCAACGCAATCATAAATAAAAGCAAAATGAATAATCCTCGCCCATCTCAAAACCACTGAAATCATATCACATGGCGAACGTAGGGGCCTATTTGTCTCATCACATTATGAATAACAATACCATGGTCAACTGTCAAATCAGCCAGAATTATTATGAATAGATATATATTATTCACATACATATATAATATATTTATAAATATGACAGTGATCATTAAGCGTATACTTAATTAGGAATCAGCCCTACTCAAAGGGATGATTGAGTTGTGAGAGTAAATTAGACTCTCGTGGACACACTGCAGCTGTCTCCGATAAAACTGAAGCGCTTGTCAACAGGAAAGACAATCTGGACGCTTAACAGTACGTTGTTTCATGACAACAAATAACTCCAATTTCAATATATTTCGTATCAGAGACACATAGTTACGTCTGTTGTACGTTGGTTCTCCCCCCTGCGAATATTATGATCCCAGACCACTGTTATCTTCTTATGTATTAGACCAGGATGGATCAATGAACAGTCGTTGAAAAATATCTCCTAATTGAGTTTTGTTATCAGCAACATTTCTGTACGTCAATTGAACTTATCCACGTCTCCTCCAAGCTATGGAATTTATATATCAATACCTGAATAAACACAAATTCTCGAATTATTTATGGATCCTGTAAATAATTTTGATTTGAAACCATAATTCCTCTGAAGAGTCGTATTCCATTATAGAGAAATCGAGTCTAATTTGCAATAAACAAGATTATATTCGTGGCAAATTAAGATGATCTATTTTTGTCCAAACTACTTCGCAAAAAAAATGATGCCGATCAAGCCATATCTGCGTAATCCTTTCCATTCGCCAATTGTACCAAACTTAATTTATTCTTAAATCCTTTTTAAATATATATATATATATATATTTATATATGTCACAGATGTTCAGACGGGTACCGCTTGTCTTTATAAACGAACGCCCGTGTACGTTGCCTTGCTTAAAGCCAAGCTATACTAGAATACGTCTGTAGACACACGTTCTATCCAGTAACATAGGCGACGCACTCTTGGTAAAATAGTTCGCCTATAGTACGACGTATCATTTCAAAATAGTTGTACACTGTACACTGAACGGACTGGTTCTGTTTCGTATTTGTGAGTCGCACGGCATCTTCTTTGCATCCAATAACGATCACGTTCTCAGTTAATTGCCAAAAAACACAATCTGATTTGCGTGTATATAGTTAACACGACTACAATTGTCTTTCACACAAATACAGCGATGAGTCGTAAATCGGACTCGTATAACGTATCAGATTGTTTCAATACATTTCGTATCTATTTCATACGTTTTGACTTACTTTGTCGTCTGCTGTATTTGCTATTGTATATAGTCATCAAAATAGTCGAATTATAGCTAGGAGGTTCGCGGATGTCATGGGATTTTGCCTCCCTGGAGACTTCTAGATTCATTAAATTACCACTGAATTGAAGGCGGGATTAACAGTATGATACATCATGGAAGAAATTAGTTTTTGTTTTTCCTCCATGGATACATGTACACCTGTGTGCACAGCCCATACTCTATACGAATATGCCTATTCATAATAGAGAGCTAAACAGTATTTGAATAATTTGTTTATTTTTACACTTTCTTTCTCTTAGAAATATTTTCGTCATCTCATTGAATGCACGAATACGGTAGGCTTATATAATCATTAAGACACACTTTCATGTACAGGACCCACAACAACCGCTTACTTGCAGTCGGGTACCTTTTTCACTATAGTATATAGGCCCTATTTCATTTCAACTATGATATTGAGATTATTATTATAAAATGCTTAATACCATTATTAAATATCTCTTTCGAAAACAGTGCGTGGAGCTTTAGTTCTGAGGCTCTGTACTTCACACTATCAAAGTTTCACTGGCAAACAACTGCTGTATGCCCATATATAGTTACGATGTGCCTATATATGGTCCGGATGTGATGTCATCAAACCATATTTAGCCAGGCCACGTTTAAGTCAAATACAATTATTTGATAAGTCTTGACAGTGCATAAGAAAAAAAATTAACCTATTTTTATACTTATATTCCAAAGCAAGTGAATGAATATTATTTGATTCAAATTGAAAACACTAAAGGACAGCTGTATAGAATTGACCAGACCTACGCTGGTGTAATATATACGAATGCAAATAGTTACACAAAGTTGTAATAATTAAGGAGGTGATTCGGTTTCTCAACAATATTTACATGTTAAACGAAAATGTATTATAGATGCCATCTGTTCCGCGATGGTCCCACTTTCAAATGAACTTTAAAATACTAAGCTCCAACAAAATCTATCGATTTTATAAAATTGTTTATGTACAATACAAAAAAAAAAAATAGAAACCTAAATATCAAGTGATTCAGTTCACTTTTGTTAACCCTGGTATCCCAATTTCTGTGTTGGACCTAATAAAAATAATGAATGAATGAATCAGACAGTTGAATATTGACTGTAGCTAGGAAAATATATAGAAGGTAGGGCCAACTACTAACGTGTGTGAAATTCAATAATCGATTGATTTACATAGAAACTCAAATCGTAATACCTATAGGAGGAACTATTAATAGGAACCTCTATTTATAGACATTATTCCCTCGTTTCGGTAGAAATCGCACTATTTAACCCCTGTCTCTTATACACATCTAGATGTGTATATACACACACTACATTTAAACCGCCAACTAAATCAGGACTCCAGGAACATCAAGTCTAAAATACGTTTAAAAGTGTATAGTTGTGTCCAGTGGTGGCCTCAGTACTTGTCCGACTGAGAGGAGGTAGTCCTCAACGTAGACGGGGTCCGAAGGGCCGAGAAGAGGAGTCCCCGCCAGCACCGACAACTTTGGAGGTTTCGGAGTAACGTTCGTTCTATGGAAGGTTTATTTATTACATTTTAGAGTTTTACAATCTGAAAAAAAAAAATACATAAGACTCTTTTTTTCTCTCGCCCGAGGCTAAGCCCCACCCTTTGGATATTGTTGCTACACGTCACACAAAATGACAGTGCTGGAGGAAATATATTAATATATTCCTAATTAGTTAAAACATACGCAAACACATGCGTTTGTAGGACAACACGCGTTCTTCTTAGACACGCGTGTATTACTGGCGCTGTTCTGATTGGTCAGTTGTTAAGTTTGATTGGCACTGTAGAAAGGCCATTCATATTCTGTTGTGGATTATGATGACCTTTGTAGGCATGGTGATTGACTACCGTTTTGGAATGCTTGTTTTTCTGATTATAGGGAGCTTTCGATTTGTGCGACGACGCGACGCTAGAACGGAGTCACTCATGCGTGACCGTCCTGCCTGGCGCGTCCTACGTTCTCTGCATACGTAGATTTGGCCAAATTGCGTTCCAGAATTTACTCGACGAGGTTACCTTAACGTCCTCGTATGCGCAAATGACTTTTAGTGACGTCATTACGTTATATGTCCTATCATGGAGACGGTCCTACCGTTGTCCTGCAATTGATAGACGAAGTTATTTACATCAAGCCGACTACCGTATTAACCTTCGTAAATTTAACTATGTCGCGGAAATCAAAATATAATGTAAAAAAAGTTTACATCACCCTTTAAAACAAATTTTATGACTTAAAATGTCAATTTCAGCATATTTTATAGTTAGTCAACCATCATCAACATGATGCGTAAAATATTCCTTCACTTCGATAATTATTTTACTTGGTATTGTTATTCGTCTTGTATAATCAAATCTTCTTTATTTAATGACAATATCCGAGTGTACTTGCTTATCTTAGGTTTTAGTGATGTCACTCTCCATTAATGATACACATACCATTGTCATAATTCATAATTAACTCCTTAAAGGAGTCGATTTATAAAGAGAATATCTTTCCCACCGTCAATAGAGTTTCCACTGTGGTAGAAACTCGTTTCATACAATGTACCTTTGAACAATCTGGAGTTATTAAGCGGTCATGCAAAAATGTATGGAACGCCTAAGGGACATTTCATTTATAATGGGAAATGCCACTTTGGCGTTCAGTAAAATTCTTCCCTAAATTGCATTCTATAATCTCTATCTTACGTTTACCAATTTTAAATAATTTTAAAACTGATTTAGTATAATCTGTTAACTAATATCATATTTCTGAAATTACGGATATTGCGTACCCGTGACGTACTCTCATGTACGCTCAAAACTAAAATTATGGTGATGCCACCCATTTTATCGACAGACAATTGTATTGAATATAATTAGAATGGATTCTAGATGAGGTATTCGTAATAATTAGTATTACTATCCTTGTATTCGTATACTATAATACAGACTGGCTCAGGTAGAAAAAAAATAAAGGTATTTATCTGAGAAACCCATGGCAGAATACATAAACATTCGTCTTCCGTTTTTTCATTTCATTACATTTCTTTAGGCACGAGCGCCAAGGATATGCCAATCAGCGAACGTAATCACTATCCTACGTGGCATAGGCCTATCCATTAAACAACAAAGGACTGAATAGACCAGTACACCGGGGTAACCCCCTACTCTTCTCGAAGGATGTACTGGGTTCTTTAAAGTGCACACGAGTAAACTGGGTACACTGGGCCTACGGTTTGAAGTCCTTATCCGAGAAGACTTGTTCCACCACAGAAACCATTGGCGAGTGAGCCGTTCGAACCAGCGCCGCGGCGCTGGTTCGAACGGCGTGCCGATATTATAGCTGAAGGTTACTGTGCCCCTGACTTAACCGCTCGGTCAATCAACTCGCTAACTAATTCGTTGTCATCGTTTTACAAACACAGAGTACATAATTCAATATAATGTACTAGCTAAACATTACCAATGATGCATTTCGGTTCTAAAATTATTTAGAATTCGTAAACTTCTCAGTTATCGTCATAACCTTCAGAAACATATACAGACATAATGAAATAGACCTAGGGCCTATAGGCCGTACACTCATGACGGTAAACGCTATATCATGTCCTAACTGCACTGATCAGTCCCTACATTCGTAACAAGTCCCAGGTAAAAAAGAAATATAGGCCTCTTTAGTTGATATAATGAGACAGTTAAAACTATCTTATTTTGCTAACATGAACTATGCAGCTCAAGAAAAATTCGAGGATTTCTAATTGGCAATTATGCATTAGCCATTTTTTTTTTTTTTTTTTTTTTTTTTTGAATTTTCCATTTTTTTTTTTTTTTTTTTTTTTTTTTTTGCAAAATGTTATAAATGTTTCCTCTCCACATGTTCGTGTTTAACGAGAACTGAAGCAATATTTAGGATGGCCGAGATCTTGATCTTGGCAATACAATTATAAATGATCATTTTATGGCGTGTGTGTATCAAGTGCGTATTTCAGATAGGCCTAGTTATGTAATTTCCAGTGACGGTCATATGACGTCACACACTCATAAGTACCGTACCAAACTCCGCGCTGAGGCCTAAAACAGATATGATAAGTACGCTAACGCAGGAAGACACACAGGCACACACGCAATAAACAGATTAATACAAATAGTACAAATCTAATGCATCAAAATACAATAGTGGCCTAGATTTTGTCATAATTTAAAACATTTATAAAAAATAAAACCACTGTACCACTAAATAATGTCGTATGTCGTAAGAATTAGAATGATCTAATAATAATAATACAATACATAGTTTGAAAATGAGTTATTTGGGTTTAAGTAGAGATATCCATCAATCAATAATTAACTTTTTTTATTTTCTTCCCGTGAATATTTGAATTTATGTCTCTATATTTCACCTGCCGAAAGTTTTATTAAATTTCATTTTTGTTAACTGTATCCTATTATGTCATAGACCTATTGGCTAATTTTTTCGACATACATAACAGTTCCCCTTGTATTATCACTGGAA